ATTCCAAAAACAAAACCCACATCAAGACAGTACACGGATTACTGGTACTACTGTCCCAGGGTGAAAAAACTCAACCATAGAGTTAACATGGCCCGAAGAAACTACAGAAGATATCCCCTGGACACAAACAGACATCTCCTGCAAGACATAGTCAAGGATACGAGGGAAGAGAAGGAAGAAATCAAAAGCGTAAGCTGGATCAAGTGGTGCTCCGAGCTGAACGAGCACACCTCCCTCGGCAAAATGTGGGCCCAGATCCGAAGGGCATCTGGGAAGGCAACACCACCACCACCAACCCATCCCAACCCAGAAGAGGAAGCCGAGAGACTTGCAAAACTCTTCTCCGACAGAGCAGCAACGAAAAACCTCCCGAGACACGTGGAGGAGACACAACGGCGTCTGCGACAAGTCAGACTCCAGATGATCGAAGAGGCCTGCAATGGTGAAGATGACACCGACAGACCTTTCAACCAGCAAGAACTCCAGAAGTCGCTAAAACGAAGCAAGGACACAGCACCAGGGGCCGACAGGATAACCTGCTCCATGTTTTCTCATGCCGGTGAAGCCGGGCACGAGGCTTTGCTACAAGTCATCAATGCTTCGTGGATAGCACAGAGACTTCCACCGGAATGGAAGAAGGCAGATATACAGCCCATTCCGAAGCCCAGAGAACCAGACAAACCAAGACCCATCTCCCTCTTCAGCTGCATAGCGAAGACGGGAGAAAGAATGGCTCTCAACAGACGGATTCAAGTGGAAAGTCGGCAGCCCACACCCTCACATTTTTGTTTACACCGAGAACACCGGCACAAGCAACAACATTGCTGAGATACTCAGCACATTGGACAATAAATCAGCTTTGGTGGTCTTCCTCGACTTGGAGAAGGCCTTCGAACTCGCAAATCCACTGTCCATTATAACGAAGCTCGCCGAAAAAGGAGCCAAAGGAAGGTTGCTGGGGTGGATCCAGAACTACCTTACACAGAGAGAAGCAAGAGTACGCTTTCACGGGGCAACGTCAAGCTACAGGGTCCACGAAAATGAAACCCCACAAGGAGGCATCCTCAGTCCAACGCTATTCAATGTCCTGATGGAAAATCTAGTCAGACTTCCTTTCAGACAAACAGCCAAGCTCTTCTGCTATGCAGACGACTTACAGCTCATAGTAAGAGGAGCAAACAGACTAGTCAACACGCAACACGCACTCCATCTTGTAGAAGAGGAGTGCAACTGACTTGGACTCAAGTTAAATTCAGCCAAGTCGAAAGCGATGGCCATCTGCACAGACACACCAGACATGATGCTCTCCATACAAAACACGCCGGTAGTCTGGACCAACACCCACCAGTGTCTTGGAATTTGGTTCGACCAGAAACTCACTTTCAAGCCGCAACTCGAGTATCTCAGGCACAGGACGAAGAGCAGACACAACATAATGAGGTCGCTCACCAGCACAACTGCAGGAGCGAACATACACGTGCTCAAAGCCTACTGCAGTACACGGCCGCCATGAGTTCGCTGGTAGATTACAGTGCTCCAGCACTCATTGAACTGAGAGAAGACCAGATAGCTAAGCCAGAAGTTATCCAAAATAATGCTCTCAGGACCATGCTCGGCCCACCCATATGGACCAGAATTTGCAATTTGCAAATGGAAACTGAACTATCACCCCTGGCAGTACGAGTCAAGCAGGTGACAGCCGGTCTCCTCGCTAAAATCTGTAGATCAGATAAGCCTACAGCTGCCAAAACGCGAATCAGTGCCTCCCTCCACCTCGACCACAGAGTGCGAGGGGCCACCTGGTCGCACGAGGCAAGCAAGGTCACCGGGCACCTGCAAGTAGAAACACTCGTAAAGGCCTGGGACTTAGGGATAGAAATCCTTTGCCAGCCTAATCAGGATCTTATAGGAGGAAAGTCAAGAACCACGGTCTTCCGAGGGATAACAAACAACAGTTGGAGATTGACATCTCTTTACTAAGAAAATAACACAAAACTGACACCACTCACACAAATATCAAATAACAATTACGGGAGTCAAACAATTAAAGAGTCAAACAATTAAGAGAATCAAACAATTAATGGAGTCAACAATTAAGGTAGTCAACAATTACTGGAGACAAACAATTACGGGAGTCAACAATTAATGGAGTCAAACAATTACGAGAATCAAACAATATATAGAATATTTCCTACGGTGGTGGCCCGGTGGAAGGTTTCGTAAAGCAGTGATCCGCTCTCGGGGGATGTCAAGGCAGCTTCCTCACTTGGCGCCGGCGGGCAATTGTCTTGCTAAACAGGAGAGACACCAGGGCATGGACGGTGGATAGGGCAATAGGGCATGGAAGAAGTGGCAATGACGTGGCAGCCGCCGTAGTTGCTGGGGTAGGTGTCCAGAGATTGACAGTCGATTTGTGAAGGTCTGGGGAAACAGCCCACGAGTCCAGGACCTATGATGAGAACACAACCAGAATTTAAACGAACTGCGGGGAAGTGCAGCTGTAGTGCTGGCTGGGTAGTGTCTGATGTGTGTCGAGGCGGCAGCGACGTTCTCACCTCCGTCTACCCCCCCTCCCTAGTGGGGGGTCGCGAACAAGCAAACGACCGGCGGACAACCATCTTGCTCGTTACAACCCTGACAACACTCGTCAAGAACAACCAAGACATACGAGACAGGCATTATGTAGTTCCACCACCATGGAGCCCTCTACCAGCCACATTCAAAATCACCGAACTAGGTGATAGCAAAGTCAACCTCCAGAAGGAGGACCTCAAAAGAATAACTCAGGAAGCCAGGAAGCCATTGCCACCGACACACCTGCTGATACAGCACCATACTTCACAGACGGCTCGGTGGACGCAAAACATCATAGATCCGGAGTGGCCTTCTACACCCAAGGTCAGACCCTCCTATGGAGACATTCTAATGACTGCTCCACCCTACAAACAGAGTTGGTAGCAATCTCAAAGGTCCTACAACACGCTGCAACACAACACAACAAGTCCATCATAATTCACAAGGACTCGAAAACGGCCATTCAGGCGCTGCAACACAGTCAACCAAGAGACAACGTCCACATCATAACCTTGATCCTCGCACAGCTACAGGACTTCCAAAGACAAAACCACCCAGTCGTCTTACACTGGATTCCCAGTCATGTAGGGATCGGGGGAAATGACATGGCTGACGAAGCAGCGAAGGCAGCCTCACTTTCTAGAAGCGTACACATTCAAGTTGCAGCAAGCGTGCAACAGATCAGGAACCACCTCAGAAAGACTACCAAGCTCCACATCCAAAAGAGCTTCCTTGACGCATTCAACGTTGGTTCCCAATCAGCCAAATGGTAACTGGTGGCTACAAAAGGGGAACCAATACTCGCGGACAAGAAAACACCAAGACAAACCCAAGTTAGCCTTCATCGACTACGACTAGGGTACAAGTGCTCCTGGCAGACGATCGAAAATGTCATCAGGGAATGCATCTACTGTCAGGAGCCAGCTACCAACCCACTGGAACACTATCTCCTCGACTGCGAAGTCACACAAAGTCTCCGAAACAGAATTCGAAACTACCAAGAAGAACACACAACACCAGCGGCCACTCTAACCCGAAAGGCCCAAACAAACCGCATTCACCACCTTCTCCGGGTCATCACACGATACCCACCACCCAGATAGCTTAGGACGTATCCTCCCTCAGCAAGTGCGGACCCCAGTTCGGGGGGCGCGCCACTCCGAAACTGACCACGTTGGTGGTAAACGTTCACTGACCGAGTGTCCGCTCACACTTGCAAACCTGCAGTATCCTTTCATATCGGCAGGCAGGACAACCTCAATCCCCAATCCCAAATCCTGTCTGGCTGCTCCAAGAGCTCCAGCCTGAACCACCAAACGGGCCACCTACAGGCAAAGGCCCGTGTCGGACTACAGTCCGACAATCTCAACAACAACAACAGGCTAGGGTCAGTCGATCGCTTCCGTTCAGTGTTAAGAATATTCCTAACAGAACAACTGAAGATAATTGTTGTACAAGTATTGTGGAATTGTTGTGATTAATATAAAGTGAAAAGACTATGGAATTGTGCACTGGTAGTGTGCCGACTACAGTATACTGTATATTCGAAGTGAGAAGTCCAGCTGTGAAGCTATTACCCTGTTAACAGTGTTGTGACGAATCAGTGTTTATTAAAGGAGACTACAGTGTACAAGTGTGTTTCTGTGACCTGGTGGAAATCTACCCGCCTGTTGTTTGCCTGTAGACCGATACCGATCGTCGGGACAGCCAGGGTAATTCGACAACACTTGTGAGATATCCGCCGCTTCTGTACAAGCGACCCTAGCCGCTGGTAAACAGTGGTGGAAGCTGGGTAAGTGGTGAAAGGAGAAGGGTCGTAACAACTTGGTTACCACCAGTCACAATGGTCTGGAGATGGACTGGTAACACCCCCCCCCCCCCGCAAAAAAGCCTAATTGTACAAACTCTTGTTGCGCATCACCGACATCTAGCTATTAAATTTTTACTTGCTTACAATACAATTATAATACTCTTGTTTTAGCGTATGTAAAAAATTATTGAAAATTTACTTCTTTATTAAAATTTCTGGTAATTAGTGCATCTCTATTAATTTCATAAACAGTGGCAGGGGATTTCATCAAAAGTAGCTGCGTTCACTTCACTTTATTGTTCTTGGTGTGGGTACAGGATGTATCATTGGCTATAATATTCATTCATGGTTAGTACATAACTATAATGTGTGCTAAATTATTGCATTATTCCCACACTAATGTATATTATGTAATAGGGTTCATAACATGTGTATCAGGCCACACTAAAAAAAAGAAACATAACACAATTATTTTCTCACTTCACTTGCATGTGTGTGCTTCGTTAAGTTTATCCAGTACAGAGCAGTGGTCAGTGCATTTATCACATCCAATTCCACTACTGTTCATATATCAAACCATAGTTATTTTGTTACAGAAGGGAACATTTCCACTTACCGACAAGCATACACCCCAGGTAGCAGCCAAAGTCGACCACCTGGAATAGAAATTTGAAGACGATGTAAGTCTCCACGTTGGGCGAAGCCACGGTGACGAAACTCACGACCACGGACAATACGCTGCTGATCATCACTGTCTTCCTCCGCCCGATCCTGTCAACATGTTACGGCCATATTTATTTACGGGACAATTTCAATGCAAAGTTTTAAGAGACAATGGCCTCTTAAACAATTTAGAGACCACCTCATCTTTATTAATAATGTAAGGTAGTGTTGCAGTGAAATTTCACAGAACTGTCAGTAATATCATTTATGATATAAATTATTTGGGTGACTTTTGTTGACAAACAACCAGTGTTTTGGTGACAGTCCATTTGTTACAGATAAAGTGGCAGAGTTGATAAAAATCTCTTCCTTTCAGATATAACTGAGGTCTCAGTGGGTCCTCTTACGAAACAGCTGTTGACTCCAAGAGCCATAGATTACCAGGCCTTCTTAAGCGCAGTTAGGCGGAGCTTAGCTGACGTCAGACCGTCCAGTCAGCCCATCACCAGCTTGGATTTGCATGCCAAATAAGGGCGTGACCGACTGTTTTTATTAGGGGGGGGGGGAAATAGATATTTTATTATCTAAATTCAATTAAATGTACAAGATAAACTGAAGTTAATCTGTGAGTGTACTGGAGTTTATGTTATAAATTTTAATATATACACAGGAGACATGAAGCCTATAATGTAAGTAAAAGATTGGATTCATGTTATAAGTACTGTTACATTATTTTACAGGGATGACATCATTTTTATAACTATGCTTTCTTACTGAGCTGATTTTGTGATTTAAAGAACGCATCCTAAAAAAAACAGGCGACATGCAACAGCAAATCTACATACTGGGCCACATCTGCTGCAAGCTCTTAAACAACTCCTTTTCCAGGTTTTAAGACATGTTCACCGTACAGAGATAAATCCACTTTTGTTTCATTTCCTTTTTTGGGGGGGAAGCGATAATGCTAAACCTCACCTTTCTGTCTGCTTGAATAACATCCAGATACTGCACAATTATTAGGTATGTTTCGCTTTATCACATTATTTTAGAAACACAGTAGATTAGAAACGGTCAAATGGAATACAAGGTGGTAGATTGACCCGTTGACCTTCTCTGAACGACGATCCACTCGAGTCTAGACACAGGTCACAGGTGCGACCTGTATGTGTCAGGTAACGTCATGCGCGTGGATAAACGTGCTTTCGTTCACAGATGAGTTGACCGGGCAATCTATGGAGCTTGGTTGACACCAAAGACAGGAGGGCTGAGGAGCCAAGGATTACCTTTCATCCCACTTAGAAAATGGGATACTTTACATCAATTTACCGTCTATCTTGCTTGAAGCGTCTGTTGCATAATAATTTATTTTAGATTACTGTTTTTCAGGGTAATGAAATAAATAATCGTTTTATACCAATGCTTGCTTGTTTTTTAGATCATTGTAAACTCACGGACAGAAGACCTGATATATGCCTGTGACTAAACTGTTGCATTCTGGCTGTCCTCTGGTTTCCAATTTTAGTAGCTGCTGAAGGCTTACATACATCAGTCCTCTGCCAGTGACAAAATGGAGAGTCTACACTAAGGCTGATCAACTACTTTAGGATGGGAGCCAGATTATGAAATTGATAATGACAAGGGCGTCATACATTTTCGACTTCCAATTTTTTATCTACTTACACATATACATAAAAAACAACAATAAACAGATTAAATTCTCTTTGCACAGGATTCATGCATTTAAACATACATAACGAGGCAGTTCGCTACACTAAGTGCAAAAATGAACACATTGTGGTTAGATTCACACTCAGCAAGTCACTGAAATACAAATATTCTCATATTTCTGTGTCTTTAATTCTGTATGTGTGACAAGTAACAGTTTATAGGCCACACATCTGTAAGCCTTTGGTATATTTCTCCTCTGATGGGAAAAATTACACTTCTTCGGTCTTACAAGAGCAGCAAAGTTGGGGTCATATATCGACTTATGGACTTCACAACTCTTCAGTGCATCATCACCTCCGCAGGAGATATGAATTCCTTAAATGCTTATGAAGTTCGTAGCCCGTTAGTGAATCTGGGCCCTGGGCCATGGCTTACAAATATATTCCGATTTACGATAGTTACGTGAAAATCATATTCTAAACATAATCGTAAATCGAATAGCATTTTTCATTTGATTATCATTATAAATTGGGTGATATGTTCTTGAAAAAATCAACCTATCAAAAAATGACACTTTGCCTAGTATCTGCATGCATGAAAATGGAAACTGCAGTATAAATGGGCAACAATTTAATGAAAGACAAAAGAGTAATATGATAAACAATTACCACAGTTGGCTGAGAGACCCAAAAGTCTACTGATGGCCATCGCCTCTTCACTAGCCTCACTACGCCCTCTCACTTCCCACGAAACATCTACAGTAAAGTGGCAGCTTTGCCGCGTCTCTTACCACTGGAGGTAATGCTGTTTCTCATTTCACTTGCTGGTCACTTTAATAACACCTCTAAATACCAGAAGGGCAAATCGCTTAACACCTTACGAATTTACATGAGATTTATACAATAGAGTGGGGTTGATTTGAAAGACTCGGTTGGTTTGTAAACAATTTCACTATAACGTGCTTCAGCTAATCAAACAGGAACATATTTAACGTTCGCTTTCTACCCAACCTCCCCCCTTCCCCCCCCCCCAAAAAAAAAATCGAAGTAAACAATATATAAATAGAGGCGAATTATTTATTATCGTAAACTGAAAAATCGTAAATAGTTATCATAAATGTAGGCATACATTTGGCAGCTAGTAGACAGGAGCGGCCATGCACCCTTAAAGGCACACTGTAACTCGGCTTCTCAGAGGAAACCGGTTGATAAATGGATAGGGATGTCCTTTGCCATAAACATGCTAATGATCTGAGGAAGTTCAATGGACAGGATACAGGGATATGGCCTACTACTACTTACATACTCTATGTCTCCATAAACAAAGCCTAGGGACGCCTTCAAATCCTTCATCCCTCGGGAGTCTTCATCAGTGAAACTGTTCGGTTAATTACACTGCGAGATTAAAATTGGTCTTTCGACAGTGGTGGAGCAAAGGAGAGGGGAGGGGGTGGGTGGGCGGAGGAACTGGGATATAACCTTCTTTTGACCGCTAAGTGAGAGTTAACAATTGAAGGGAAAAGCCACTACTTGTGGGTCTGTTTACGTAAGAGAATTTTAAGGATAAATATGCTGTGATGATGTGGAGGTGGGCTGCGATGATGTGGAGGTGGGCTGTGATGATGTGGAGGTGGGCTGTGATGAGGTGGAGGTGGGCTGTGATGATGTGGAGGTGGGCTGTGATGATGTGGAGGTGGGCTGTGATGATGTGGAGGTGGGCTGTGATGATGTGGAGGTGGGCTGTGATGAGGTGGAGGTGGGCTGTGATGAGGTGGAGGTGGGCTGTGATGAGGTGGAGGTGGGCTGTGATGAGGTGGAGGTGGGCTGTGATGAGGTGGAGGTGGGCTGTGATGAGGTGGAGGTGGGCTGTGATGATGTGAGGTGGGCTGTGATGATGTGGAGGTGGGCTGTGATGATGTGGAGGTGGGCTGTGATGATGTGGAGGTGGGCTGTGATGAGGTGGAGGTGGGCTGTGATGAGGTGGAGGTGGGCTGTGATGATGTGGAGGTGGGCTGTGATGATGTGGAGGTGGGCTGTGATGATGTGGAGGTGGCTGTGATGAGGTGGACTGTGACGAGGTGGAGGTGGGCTGTGACGAGGTGGAGGTGGGCTGTGACGAGGTGGAGGTGGGCTGTGACGAGGTGGAGGTGGGCTGTGACGAGGTGGAGGTGGGCTGTGACGAGGTGGCTGTGATGTGAACTAGAGAAGGATCATGCTCCTACCTTTCCTTCATGCTCCTACCTTTCCTTCATGCTCCTAACCATCGTCACCAAAATATCCAGTAGCTTTAGGAGAACTTTGTACACAAACCCTACGTTCACTAGGTTGACTACTTTTGATGTAGATTTTATAATCGTATTTCTGTACTTAAACAACTTAAGTAATTACTGTACATTAGTCCATCTGTAATTTAAAATTATGAGCGATAGAACTCTATTACAAATGTACCTTCACCTACAGAGTTTTTATGTTCCAACTATTTCGAACTCAAAATTATGGTTAAATGTATTGTTACGATAATCCTCCTTTTACCGCTTACCCAGCTTCCACCGCTGGTTACCAGCGGCTAGGGTCGTATGTACAGAAGCAGTGGATATCTCACAAGTGTTGTCGAATTACCATTGGCTGGGGCAGCCAGTCTCCGGTAATTCCCCGACGATCGGTATCAGTGTACAGACAAACAACAGACAGGTAGATTTCCACCAGGTCACAGAAACACGCTTGTGCACTGTAGTCTTCTTAAATAAACAGTAATTCTTCACAACACTGCTAACAGGGTTATGTCTTCACAGCTTGACTCCACACTTCGAATATATAGTCAACACACTACCAGTGTACAATTTCCTAATCTTTTTACTTTATATTAATCACAACAATTCCACAATACTTGCACAACAATTGTCTTCAGTTGTTCTGCTAGACTTATTCTTTACTCTATGAACGGAAGCGATCCACTAAATCCGATGATGATGATGATGATAATGAAGTAAAGTGGCCAATGACTTTGTCCTGGGAAAGGAGAGGAGAGAGAAGTAAAGCATAGAAACGGGAAGTACAGTACGAGGGGCAGGGCCGGCGCTACCCACTAGGCGAACTAGGCGATCGCCTTGGGCGCCAACATCTGGGGGCGCCACAAATTCAGGGCAAACTTGGATAAAATTAAAAATGAAGGGAAAACTGTGGTGGACACTGTGGTGGAGCCGTGGAGGGTCGGAGCAGGATGTTAGAAGGGTGGGGGGGTCGGAGGGAGGCGAGGGTAGGTAGACGGTAGCCGACTGTGTTTTCTTTTTTAATATTATTCGTTAACCCCCCGGAGGAACTAACCCGGGTCCTGTCCTTTAGCGGCCAGGAGAACTGTCGAGCAGTGACCTGAAGGCTGACATCTGAGGAACCCTTCTCCCAACCCCACCATCCCCTCCCCTCCCTTACTGCCAGGGCGGCTGAGCCGCCCCTTCCCTGCCTTTGTCGGGATGAGGCAAGGTTACCTGACCTCTGAAGTTTGACCTCGCATAACATAATCCCACTGAGACTGGCCAGCGGCCAGAGCCGCCAGCCGCCAGGCAAATAGTAACCTTGAACAACTTGATTAGTTGGAGATCAAGATTCAAGCTGTCCAGACTACTCACAGACACCAGTGACCAGGCCACTTCAGTCCGAGTCAGTCATCTCCAAAAGTGTGGTGCAGTGGCAACAACTTCAACAGCTGGCTATCCTGCTAAACAGTAAGTTGAAACTCTTATTATTTTTATAGTATGTAGTTATTTGATTTCTCTTGTACTTTGTCTATAATGCTGTACACAGGGATATACCTTAGCTAGTCTGTGTTTCAATCTTAGTGCTTCTCGTCATTTTGTCAAGTTTTATCATACGTGTGTTACGATGTGTACTAGTGGACGTATGTACTGCGTGAGTGTGTACTAGTGGACGTATGTACTGCGTGAGTGTGTACTAGTGGACGTATGTACTGCGTGAGTGTGTACTAGTGATTGTATTTTTTTCAACAATAATTTGATATATGTTTTGTAGAATATATTTGGTTATGTATCCATTACAGTAAAAGCTAATCTCCAGTTTCACGATTGTCAACATTACAAATAATTGTCCACTAAATTTTTATTACAATAAAAGGTCTTATTTATTTATATACTTATTTGTTTGTCATATAATATCGTCTACAATAAGCTCCTATATAATGTAATTTCAACACATACACTAAATAAAATTCACCTAACAAATTAATATGTTTTATATAGGTAGTAATGGCGTACAATAGGAGCTCAAAACCAAATACAGGGCAGTGTACTGGGCCCGTTGTTGTTTGTTTGTTTCATAAATGACATGCTGGAAGCTATATACTCCTCCATACAAACATAACCAAACAGGCTGTGGAGAGCCACAGAAAAATCTGTGAGCTTTAAGAGTTGTCGAAGAAATGGTTGCTAAGATTAATGTCACGGTGCACCTGGGTAGTACCAACGTAGGGAGGCGCATCACATGTCAAACGGGATGAAGAAACTGCATTAATAGAGTTCGAATTTGAAAAGAACCTGGGTGTGTATGCTGACAATGAACTGAAGTTCTCGGGCCATTGTGAGAAGGCAAATCAAGCAAGCAAACTATTAGGTCTTATAAGAAGGTCCGTCCCTCGTAACGATCTGCTAGAGTTAAGTGCTTCCCCGTCTGGAGTACTGTCACCTCGTCTGGTCCTCGAGATATGCTAGAGACTGGCAGTTGATAGAAAATGTCCAACGGAGGGCCACCAGACTGGTGCCTGCACTACGGCACCTCAGTTATCCAGAGAGATTACAGCGCCTGCAACTGCTTAGCTTATATTACAGACGGGCAAAGGGTAACCTAACTGAGGTGTATAAACATCTCAAAGGGCACTACTCAGTCTAGTGTTCATGCCTGGAGTTGGCGGTCGCCTCCCCACAAGGGGTCAGAGTTCAAGGTTGAAGAAGCCACAAGTCCAGAAAACTGTGAGGGTAAACTTTTTCGGAGTGAGAATTGTGAACTCTTGGAACAATCTACCTGTGTGTGTTGTGGCGGCACTGAGTGTGAGCTCTTTCAAGACCAGACTCGACCAACACTGGAGCAGGTTCAGATATATTCAGGAGCTAGTGCATGCCCAGTTCTTGCCAACAGTGTGTAACAGAGACGTGACCGACCACCGGCTAACGAGCCAATCAGTGACGAAGAGGATAAAAGTAAAAAGTAAAACATAGAAGTGTCGCGGTCAAGTGGAAACAGCGATCGCCTCCTGACCTAAGGTTTGTGGAGGTGAAAGCGGTCACGTGCTCCTTGCGGTAGGCATAATTACCTCGTATGTGACCCACTATCAAACTTTTCTTCCACAGTGAGTAGTAGTTACTGTATAACAGTTTCCTCATGTGCACAATAATTTGTCAACTAACTCAGTAGGCCATTACAATGCTTATCTGGAAATGGCTATTCATATTCCACATTATAATTCTGGGCAGCCTATCCATATAAGTCAGTCTTTCAGTCTTATCCTTCTAGGATACGATTGTGGCGTGTGATGAATGTCAATGAATGGACAAATATTTGTAAATCCATTTCTTTAACATGCCGTGGTGAGCTCGACGAACAGTTTCTCAGTGAGCATCTTTTGTGTTTAGCTACTGACAGAAGTTGAGTTTGTAACAAGAGAATTTTGTCCAGTTCTAATGTAAGAACTTGTTTATAGACTTGCCACAAAAATGTGCCAAGTATATGATGTTTTCACACCACTAGCTGGGTGGGTGAGCAAGGTGATTGATTCCCTCACTACTCGTCACGCATCTCTTAAGATAGGCCCGAACATCAATCCCAGGAACGTACTTGCTGCAACTCCACCCCCCCCCCCTTTTATAATTAAAGTTATTACTAAATCCGGAGTGAAATAACATACAAAATTATATTCAAAATTAAAAAAATATATTCTCTCAAATGCAAGTGAGTTTTGTCAAATTAATTTTCTTAAAATTATAGTGGGGAATTCTTATTCTTACAAAACTTTTGGGTAAAACTTACGCGTCTAGGAGGTAGCCACACACGAGGCTGGCAAGGAAAGTGCCGATTTGGCTTACGGCCTGGGTGGTGGCATACAGCGCCCGACGCTCACATACAAGGTCCCACTGAAAATATGTACAACAGCACAACATCAGTATCTAATTTTTCTTGTAACATTCCATTAGCTACCACTTATTTCTTCTCTCATCATCTTTTTTGTTGTTGTTGTACCAATAATATGATACTTGGTATTAACACAAACTTGACAAAACGTCATCAACCCCCCCCCCCTCCTGCAGTGGTATTATACAGAGCCTAATGGTGTGGTGTGTTATACACACTACAGGCACAGTTACCTGATTTTGTGAAGGTATACGCACTTTTAGAGAAGATAGTATGTGTTCTTTACACATCATATACACGTGAAAATGTGGTGTTATACACTCGAGAACAGTAGGTCCTGAAGTGGGGTTAAAAAAACCCGTTTTTTTCAGTAACAAAACTAATACAATCAAAGGTAATTAATACTATTACTACTACTACTACTACTACTACTACTACTACTACTACTACTACTACTAATAATAATAATAATAATAATAATAATAATATATGAGGCATTTTAGGATTGCTCCATGGAGTACATCTGAAATACATGAGTATCATGTAAGCATGAGTTGGCATCAGTGAAGGTTGATATAATAATGGTATAACAATAATGTAGCACAGCCCGTCAAGCACACATAACAGATAGCTGCAGGTGCACTTACCCAGTCATATTACTGTACTTACTGAAAAAGGATAAGCCAGCAAGATTACCGAGCTGACTGGTGGATACTGTCCATAAATAATTAAATCAACTGGAAGAAACGTCTGTGGCCAGGCAGCAGTAATTGCCCATGTTAACTATCATAAACACTGCTGACATGGTAACGACTAAGTACATTTTACACAGTCTGCATGACAAGTACAGTAAGTACGTAGTCAGCATAATAATTACGCATGTACAGTACCTCTACCCTTCTTCGGGATGGGCTGAACCGAGGCTTGACTCCACACTTCGAATATATAGTCAATACTCTACCAGTGTACAATTCATTATTCTTCTCATTTTATATTGATTAAAAAAATTCCACAATACTTGCACACAATTGTCTTCAGTTGTTCTGCTAGGCTTAACCTTTACACTCTGAACAGAAGCGATCGACCCCCTCCTTGCCTTCTTGCTGCTCTTTATATACGCCTCATCAGACACTTCTCGGGCACTCCAGAATCACCCAGAGACGCCTGGCAGAGTCTAGAACATTCTACTCTGATCGAGGTTTACTATAATAAGTAAATCATAACAAAAATGATGCAGTACATTCTAGAATATTCTTACATGATTAATACATCAATATATACACGAAAATTTCACTAAATTTACCCAAATAACTGCTGCTTGGGATAGAAAACAGTCAATACACATAGTTTACAAAATTATAATACGAAAGTATGCCTTGGCATAACGATCTCAGAGAAGCTTATTTCAGGGACGTTCATTGTAGCTACAGCTGTTGATCTTAAGATTTGACCCAAAAAATATTTGCTAGATTGCAGCTTTCCTTTGCTTTCTCTTTTGTTTAAAGTAGAAACATTGATGACTGTGACCCCAGGTGAAACAATGAACACTATCCCAATACAAAGCAAGATAAATGTTTAAAAATCCTTACTGCACCTATAATAATGTGGTGACTTCTGTGTGTTATTCTGTAACTTTTCAGTTTCAAAATTTAAAAATATTTGCAGAGAAATAGCATGATACTTAACAGCATAAAGATAGATAGTGACTAACTTAGCCCTTTCACTACAAGGATGCTACATTTAATATTTTATTTGGCTAACGCCAGTTAATTTTATTAAGCTCAGAGAAGAGCCCATACACAAGGGGTTAGTAGATTATCTCCATTAAACACGGATAACATGGGATCTCAATTGATTTGCTTAGAACCAGGGGAAGTTATATTATTGAAACGTGACGTTACACTATCATTCCTCATCCTGACTGTTATGTGGCACCGAATGTATATTGGATTTAGAGATAATTACCCTACCTGTTCAGAGATAATTACCCTGCCGGTTCAGAGATAATTACCCTACCTGTTCAGAGATAATTACCCTGCTTGTTCAGAGATAATTACCCTCCCTGTACAGAGATAATTACCCTCCCTGTTCAGAGATAATTACCCTCCCTGTACAGAGATAATTACCCTCCCTGTTCAGAGATAATTTCCCTACCTGCTCAGAGATAATTACCCTACCTGTTCAGAGATAATTACCCTGCTTGTTCAGAGATAATTACCCTCCCTGTACAGAGATAATTACCCTCCCTGTTCAGAGATAATTACCCTCCCTGTACAGAGATAATTACCCTCCCTGTTCAGAGATAATTACCCTACCTGTTCAGAGATAATTACCCTACCTGTTCAGAGATAATTACCCTACCTGTTCAGAGATAATTACCCTACCTGTTCAGAGATTACCTACCTGTTCAGAGATAATTACTGTTCCTACCCTGTTCAGAGTACCTGTTCAGAGATAATTACCCTGCCTGTTCAGAGATAATTACCCTACCTGATACCCTACCTGTTCAGAGATAATTACCCTACCTGTTCAGAGATAATTACCCCTGTTCAGAGATAATTACCCTGCCTGTTCAGAGATAATTACCCTGCCTGTTCAGAGATAATTACCCTGCCTGTTCAGAGATAATTACCCTACCCTGTTCAGAGGATAATTACCTCTACCTGTTCAGATAATTACCTCACCTTCAGAGATAATTACCCTACCTGTTCAGAGATAATTACCCTACCTGTTCAGAGATAATTACCCTACCTGTTCAGAGATAATTACCCTGCCTGTTCAGAGATAATTACCCTGCCTGTTCAGAGATAATTACCCTGCCTGTTCAGAGATAATTACCCAACCTGTTCAGAGATAATTACCCTGCTTGTTGAGTAGGAGGGAATTTATTTTATATTTGTTTCTTAATTCAATTGTTGTTAAATATGTTATATATATTAATCTAGAATAAGAATGTATTAAATAAATCGGCCTAATGTTGCGCATTAGTTAGGTAAAATAAAGATAATTTGCAACATGGTATCAGCACTGTGTGTGTCACTGGTCCACCAGTGCAGAGGCAGATGAGCCTGGCTGGTGTGAGGGTGAGGACCAAGTGTGATACAGTTGGTCGAGCTCAGTGTTTCTCAAACTTGTTCACTTTATTCCCCCCATGAGGAACTCTCAACATGGCCCCCTTCAGTTCTCTCCCAAGCCCCTCACAAATAATGGTGAAAATAAACTGTTTTGGTTCTCTTCCTTTATTTTAATGTTTTCAATCATCAAACAGAATGCATATTTTGCTACAGTTCAATGGGATGGATGGCATTGTTTCCTTTCAGTCAGTCGACTGATTCGAGGTTGAGTCACTGATAAAGCACATCTCATGTCTGGGTCCACATGTAACCGGTTTCAGCTTTTATTCACATAAATAAGTAGTAGAAAATGGCAAGAGGACTCCAAGTGCGATCTCACTAACTTTTGGATATGATTGAAACATTGAGCACCAGAATACAGTCAGAGATTTGTCTTTATAGAGTCTCTGGCAGCAGAATCGTTCTGAGATCAAGGAATTTGTCTGAACAGGAACTAGAATCGTGCAATCTGAGCGAATCCGTTGGAAATGAAAAACTAGCTGCTGCACCATACTGTGTAAATATCAAAACTGTACCGTACGGGTATTATGATTACACACAATGACAAAAAAAAAATAAAAAAAAAAGATTTCTCCCCTAACAAGGCAAAGTAACAAAAAAAAAGTTGAATCAGAGTTTCCACATTTTCTCCAAACATACACTACTTACACTAACCTGCCATGGCCCCCCCAGAATCTTGCCGTGACCCCCTTCCCCTAGTTTGAGAAACACTGCTAGACTCAGGATATATGTATATGGAGATAATTGGTTTATACTTTTGTACTGTTCAAGTATATGGTAAGGCTGAGTTTAGGGTTTAGGTTAATTTAGGCTGTGTTTTTTCTATTTCATTTGTTCTTTTACTTGTCTTTGCATATACGTTCTCTAATTTTATTATATTAAGAAATTATGCAGTATATGATTCCTCCTCAATATGATTTATATATAGTTCGAGTTAATATGAGGTTTATTCAGGGTAAATTTTCACTTGTTGCCACTATATGAAATCAAAGTCGAAACTATGTTTTTCCAGTGGTTTTTGTTGTGTTATGAATGAATTTGACCTTCATTTCTGGCACAAATCAATGGTTTCTGAGATAGGCACTGTTACATATGTTACATACCGTTAAACCATTAATATACTAAGATGTGTGTTGTCTGTTCTTTTTATCTCAGTCACCATTGCAAGAGCGGTTTGGTTATCTATGAAAGATATCAAAGATGTATGTCCTTTGAAATTACTTTATTTTTGGTATTTAATGTGAATTATATTGGTTAAATGTAATTTATAATATTTTGCAGTTATATAATATTACGTACTTATACAAACAATTTTTGAGTTAACATTCTGATTGCAAAATATGTATTGTTTGTTTATGGGGAGATGTTCTCTTTCTCCAGGGGTGAATACAGAGTGTGAATGTGAGATTAGGAAAGTGATTGTAATCTTGTTTCATCCATTGTATATCCTGCATTTTGGTATAAATTTACTCACCAGCATTTAGGGTGAATATTAAGTGATGTTGCTGTGAATGGAGGAAGAGCAATATTGTGAGATTAAGATTGATGAACTGAGTAAATATAATAGTTGTTAATTGTTATAAATTAGTATTTCTCAGTCCTAACCTAATTTGTACAGTATAAAGAATAGTTTTCTTGGATGTTTTCACACAGTGAGTTTACATTAAATGTCACCTTCAACTGTCAGCCAGAGGTAACAAGGAGTGTCTACACGATCCTGTTCTGTTAACTACAGCTGTTATTTCAGAACGTAAGTCTGATTAATGGGTCTAGGGCAGTGGTTCTCAACCTTTTTCACTCCATTCCCCCCTTGAGGAATTTTCAACATCCTCGTGGCTTCCTTCATTTTCCTCACAGAACAGACAAACAGACAAGTGATAAAGACTAAAGAATGATAAAGAAGGACAGTTAAATAGGACAAGAGTTAGAATGGCAAACACACACACACATTCACATACATAACACGCCCATGCACTCACACATAAGGCACACATACAGTGATACACAAACATGCACACAGGTAAATATTCACACTCAAGCTAGCAAGCTTAAGTGTACTTCCTGTAAGCAAGAACACGCCTCCTTTGACAAGCACTGCCCAACTTGGAAGAATGAGAAGAATAGTGAGTCATACCAATTTAGCACTAAAAATGGTAGGATTATATAAGCAAAGAATGAGTATGAACAACAATGGCACCAATAAATAAGGAAATAATTAATAGAGGAAGTGTACAAATATTTCACCCACGTAAAGCAGCTACTACCTGAATTATGAAACAAAATAAGTAACAACAATTATAAGAACATAAGAACATAAGAAAATAAGGAGTCTGCAATAGCCCGGTTGGCCTGTGCATGGCAGCTACTGTCGAGAGTTTCTACCACTCTCTATCATCCATGAATCTATCCAGCTTCCTTTTGAAACTTTCCAGAGTTCCCGCACTTACTACAAAGTCGCTAAGCTTGTTCCACTCGTCCACCACCCTATTTGTGAACCAGTTTCTTCCTATCTGCCTCCTAAACCTAAACTTATCCAACTTGAATCCGTTGCTCCGAGTCCTATCCTGCTCAGATATTATAAGAACTATATCTATATCCTCTTTATTGATTCTAAGTTGTTTGTTGGAAATTGAAATTATGTTTTTCCGGTGGTTTTTGATGTATTTTGAACGATTTTAACCTTCAATTCTACCGCTAATCAAAACTTTTTCAGCTACTCCCCTCCCTTATCCAACGATAATGTGGAACCCCCAGTGGGAACCAGGGGTTTTGGGTGGGGGAAAATCACACAAAGTAGTAATTCGCAATAGAAATGAAGGTAAGAATAATCCAAAACTTAACCTAACCAAACCTAACCTATCCTAACCTAACCTAACCTATCCTAACCTAACCTAACCTAACCTAACCTATCCTAACCTATCCACCTGTGTGGTTACCTTAATTAGACTCAGAAGACTCGGAGTTGGGGGCCTTCGGATTACTCTTCCTTGTCATATACTTGTCGCACTGGCCGCTGTCTCTCCGATTGCTGGGAGTAGACCTTGCTGAGAGTGATGATGAACTGATGCAGAAGCCTGTCTTCGCTGAAGTACGTGGTAAACAAGTAGTGTGCCAAGTACTTCTTGAAGTAGGCGGACTTGTTGCCAGATCACTTCATCCACTCCTCGAGATCCCTCCACAGACCTCTTGGAACTAAATTCAAATTCAAGGGGATAATGGCGGGGGGGGGGGCCTATACCGAGCTGTGATTGGTCCAATCAACTCTAGGGCATGCGTAATGCAGCATAGTAACCAACAAACGAACACACAGGAGTTCTCTTAGACTGTGTTAACAAAAACAAGAACTAAGAAAAAATACGACGATTTCCCAACAATTTATTGTGATTTTTTCTGAAAGTATTCACGAATGGAAGAAATGCTATACCCTGCATATAAGAAAAGTGTCTCAGTGTCTAATTGTCCAAAACTTAAAATCCTAAAAATCGCTGGATGACCGAAACGGTAATAATACTGAATATGTCATTAGTAATTACAGTGTTTACCCTGTTTGTTGTTGTGACCACTAGTGGCAGGTGGTTTGTTTCTTTATGATTTCACCATCAAGCCTCTTCTCTTATTTGACTAGTGGCAAATTCTTGATAAAGAGGAGTGATACCATAACATGACAGTCAATAAATAATGACAGTACCTCTGTGACGATGGTGGAGTCGTACTGCGACAAGTTAAACTGTCGTGAGGTGCATGCGAGGAGACCATCATTGTTGGGGCTGAGGGCTGACAGGTTGACCATGGTGCTGGAGTACCCCAACTCAGCAGCAGCTGTGTAGTTGTAGTCGCGCATCAGGCAACCTTCCACTTTTCCAGTTGAGTTACTGTCACGAGGGACAAGGTCTTGTTAATGTTATAATGTCCTGTAACAGTTTAAGTGTAACTTCAGGACCTAGTCACCAAGAATAAAAAAAACCAAGAGATACATTACTTTAGGCTTAAAAGTTGAACAATATTTGACTGACTATAACACTGGGTGTAATACACCGTGTATAACACTGGGTGTAATACACCGTGTATAACACTGGGTGTAATACACCGTGTATAACACTGGGTGTAATACACCGTGTATAACACTGGGTGTAATACACCGTGTATAACACTGGGTGTAATACACCGTGTATAACACTGGGTGTAATACTCCGTGTATAACACTGGGTGTAATACCGTGTATAACACTGGCGTAATATCTGTACACACAGGTGTAATACACCGTGTATAACACCGTAATACTCCGTATAGTAATACTCGTGTATAACACTGGTGTAATACACCGTGTATAACACTGGGTGTAATACACCGTGTATAACACTGGGTGTGTATACCGTGTATAACACTAGGTGTAATATAATATGTATAACACTGGGTATAATACACCGTGTATAACACTGGGTATAATACTCCGTGTATAACACTGTGTAATACGTGTATAACACTGGGTGTAATACACCGTAACACTGGGTGTAATACACCGTGTATAACACTGGGTGTAATACACCGTGTATAACACTGTAATACACCGTGTATAACACTGGGTATAATACTCCGTGTATAACACTGGGTGTAATACTCCGTGTATAACACTGGGTGTAATACACCGTGTATAACACTGGGTGTAATACACCGTGTATAACACTGGGTATAATACTCCGTGTATAACACTGGGTATAATACTCCGTGTATAACACTGGGTGTAATACACCGTGTATAACACTGGGTGTAATACACCGTGTATAACACTGGGTATAATACACCGTGTATAACACTGGGTATAATACTCCGTGTATAACACTGGGTGTAATACTCCGTGTATAACACTGGGTGTAATACACCGTGTATAACACTGGGTGTAATACACCGTGTATAACACTGGGTATAATACACCGTGTATAACACTGGGTATAATACTCCGTGTATAACACTGGGTATAATACTCCGTGTATAACACTGGGTGTAATACACCGTGTATAACACTGGGTGTAATACACCGTGTATAACACTGGGTATAATACTCCGTGTATAACACTGGGTATAATACTCCGTGTATAACACTGGGTGTAATACTCCGTGTATAACACTGGGTGTAATACACCGTGTATAACACTGGGTGTAATACACCGGGTATAACACTGGGTGTAATACTCCGTGTATAACACTGGGTGTAATACTCCGTGTATAACACTGGGTGTAATACACCGTGTATAACACTGGGTGTAATACACGTGTGCTACTAGATTATATACCGTGTGTATATAGTGTGTACACCGTGTATAACACTGGGTGTAATACTCCGTGTATAACACTGGGTGTAATACACCGTGTATAACACTGGGTGTAATACACCGTGTATAACACTGGGTGTAATACACCGTGTATAACACTGGGTGTAATACTCCGTGTATAACACTGGGTGTAATACTCCGTGTATAACACTGGGTGTAATACACCGTGTATAACACTGGGTGTAATACACCGTGTATAACACTGGGTGTAATACTCCGTGTATAACACTGGGTGTAATACACCGTGTATAACACTGGGTGTAATACACCGTGTATAACACTGGGTGTAATACACCGTGTATAACACTGGGTGTAATACACCGTGTATAACACTGGGTGTAATACTCCGTGTATAACACTGGGTGTAATACATCGTGCATAACACTGGGTGTAATACACCGTGTATAACACTGGGTGTAATACACCGTGTATAACACTGGGTGTAATACACCGTGTATAACACTGGGTGTAATACTCCGTGTATAACACTGGGTGTAATACATCGTGCATAACACTGGGTGTAATACACCGTGTATAACACTGGGTGTAATACACCGTGTATAACACTGGGTATAATACTCCGTCTATAACACTGGGTGTAATACACCGTGTATAACACTGGGTGTAATACTCCGTGTATAACACTGGGTGTAATACTCCGTGTATAACACTGGGTGTAATACTCCGTGTATAACACTGGGTGTAATACTCCGTGTATAACACTGGGTGTAATACACCGTGTATAACACTGGGTGTAATACACCGTGTATAACACTGGGTGTAATACACCGTGTATAACACTGGGTGTAATACTCCGTGTATAACACTGGGTGTAATACTCCGTGTATAACACTGGGTGTAATACACCATGTATAACACTGGGTGTAATACTCCGTGTATAACACTGGGTGTAATACTCCGTGTATAACACTGGGTGTAATACACCGTGTATAACACTGGGTGTAATACACCGTGTATAACACTGGGTGTAATACTCCGTGTATAACACTGGGTGTAATACTCCGTGTATAACACTGGGTGTAATACACCGTGTATAACACTGGGTGTAATACACCGTGTATAACACTGGGTGTAATACACCGTGTATAACACTGGGTGTAATACACCGTGTATAACACTGGGTGTAATACACCGTGTATAACACTGGGTATAATACACCGTGTATAACACTGGGTATAATACTCCGTGTATAACACTGGGTGTAATACACCTTGTATAACACTGGGTGTAATACACCGTGTATAACACTGGGTGTAATACTCCGTGTATAACACTGGGTGTAATACACCGTGTATAACACTGGGTGTAATACACCGTGTATATCAATGAGTGTAATATACCGTGTATAACACTGGGTGTAATACACCGTGTATAACACTGGGTGTAATACCCGTGTATAACACTGGGTGTAATACACCGTGTATAACACTGGGTGTAATACTCCGTGTATAACACTGGGTGTAATACTCCGTATAACACTGGGTGTAATACTCCGTGTATAACACTGGGTGTAATACACCGTGTATAACACTAGGTGTAATACTCCGTGTATAACACTGGGTGTAATACCCGTGTATAACACTGGGTAATACTCCGTGTATAACACTGGGTGTAATGTATAACACTGGGTGTAATACTCCGTGTATAACACTGGGTGTACACCGTATAACACTAGGTGTAATACTCCGTGTATAACACTGCGTACACCGTGTATAACACTGGTGTAATACGCGTATAATACTGGGTGTAATACACGTGTATAACACTGGGTGTAATACCCGTGTATAACACTGGTGTAATACACCGTGTATAACACTGTGTAATACACCGTGTATAACACTGGGTGTATACACCGTGTATAACACTGGGTGTAATACACCGTGTATAACACTGGGTGTAATACTCCGTGTATAACACTGGGTGTAATACAATCGTATAACACTGGGTGTAATACACCGTGTATAACACTGGGTGTAATACACCGTGTATAACACTGGGTGTAATACTCCGTGTATAACACTGGGTGTAATACACCGTGTATAACACTGGGTAATACACCGTGTATAACACTGCGTAATACACCGTGTATAACACTGGGTGTAATACACCGTGTATAACACTGGGTGTAATACTCCGTGTATAACACTGGGTGTAATAATACTGTGTATAACACTGGTGTAATATACCGTGTATAACACTGGGTGTAATACACGTGTATACATCACCGTATAACACTGGGTGTAATACACCGTGTATAACACTGGGTGTAATACACCGTGTATAACACTGGTGTAATACACCGTGTATAACATCAGTAATACACCGTGTATAACACTGGGTAATACCTGTGTATAACACTGGTGTAATACACCGTGTATAACACTGCGTAATACACCGTGTATAACACTGGGTGTAATACAATGTGTATAACACTGCGTAATACCCGTGTATAACACTGGGTGTAATACACCGTATAACACTGCGTAATACACCGTGTATCACTGGTAATACCGTGTATAACACTGCGTAATACACCGTGTATAACACTGGTGTAATACCGTGTATAACACTGTGTAATACACCGTGTATAACACTGGGTGTAATACTCCGTGTATAACACTGCGTAATACTCCGTGTATAACACTGGGTGTAATACACCGTGTATAACACTAGGTGTAATACTCCGTGTATAATGGTAATACACCGGTAACACTGGGTGTAATACACCGTGTATAACACTGGTGTAATACACCGTGTATAACACTGCGTAATACTCCGTGTATAACACTGGTGTAATACACCAAACACTGGTAATACACCGTGTATAACACTGGGTGTAATACACCGTGTATAACACTGGGTGTAATACACCGTGTATAACACTGGGTGTAATACACCGTGTATAACACTGGGTGTAATACACCGTGTATAACACTGTAATACACCGTGTGTAATAACACTGGGTGTACGTGTATAACACACCGTGTAATACTCCGTGTATAACACTGGTGTATAAATACACCGTGTATAACACTGGGTGTAATACACTAATACGTAATGGGTGTAATACACCGTGTATAACACTGGGTGTAATACACCGTGTATAACACGTGTAATACACGTATAACACTGGTGTAATACACCGTGTATAACACTGTGTAATACACCGTGTATAACACTGGGTGTAATACACTAACACTGGGTGTACATAACACTGGGTGTAATACACCGTGTATAACACTGGGTGTAATACACCGTGTATAACACTGGGTGTAATACACCGTGTATAACACTGGGTGTAATACACCGTGTATAACACTGGGTGTAATACACCGTGTATAACACTGGGTGCAATACTCCGTGTATAACACTGGGTGTAATACACCGTGTATAACACTGGGTGTAATACACCGTGTATAACACTGGGTGTAATACTCCGTGTATAACACTGGGTGTAATACACCGTGTATAACACTGGGTGTAATACACCGTGTATATCACTGAGTGTAATACACCGT